ACGAAATAGTTGTCTAGTTTATTTAAAACTGTCTCATACTCATCTTCGTCTTCCCCTTCACCAAATGTGAATGTCTTAAACACTTGTTCCGCTTCCTTTCCAAGTGAATAAAGCAGCGTACAGACCTGGACCTCACCGTCCTCTTTGTTGAGCTTTGTGGCTATCCGGTAGCGCTGAAATCGCTGCCGCCATTCGGGCCACTGCTCCGGCCGTGAAAAATCAAAAGCTTCCGGAGGTGGGAATTTCGCCATCGTCGAACGTCTTCTGACACCATGTGATGGTATGCTGAGTCAGGGAAGTCACCGATATTGTATTTTAACTCCTTTAATATTGAACAAAACACCTTGAACAAAATATTCACATGCGAGCGGATCACTGAGCAATGCGTGGCGTCTCGTGTCCTTTTTGGTTCCTCCCACTTCCCCGTCTCATATCAACGTAACCTTCCACATAAACTAGTGCCATTACATTACACTCGGTTCCTCTTTTTTTCCATATCTGAAGGCCCTCTTCTTCTCATTCAGCAGGGCCTTCAGCTCTGGGGTCACCCATGGTTTATTGTTGGAGAAGCACCGTACCCTTCTTAGTTGGCAGAGTGTTCTCCACACAGAAGGTCATGTAGTCGGTGATGCAGTGGGTCAGGGCGTTGATGTCCTCGCCAGTCTCTCAGGGCCTCACTGCAGTCCTCAGACCACAGCCTTATCACCTTCTTGGTGGGGGGTTTCCTCTTCACAGTTGGGGTGTAGGTGGGGTGGAGAAGGACCAGGTTATGGTCTGAGTGAAAAGCGGGGGAGGGGTGATGAGCTGTAAGCCTCCTTGGTGTTGGCAAACAGCAGATCCAGAGTTTTGTTGTCTCTAGTGTTGCAGTCAACATACTGGGTGAAGTTAGGGAGAGTGAAAGAGGGGGAGGCGTGATTGAAGTCCTCAGAGATAATAATCAGGGACTGCAGGTGTGCTGTCTGTACCTGAGAGACAGGAACCATGTTTCCATCAAGGCTTTTTGATGTGCATTTAGAAGTGTTGCATTAAAAATGCAAAAAAAAAAAGTCATATGGAAACAGCAAAATTCGAAAAAAAAATCCTCAATTCGCTAAAAAGTTTTTACGCTCGCTTGAGGTGGATTTTGGATTATTTGCAAAGTAGTTAATGCGCAAAACAGGAGATGGAAACACATTTGCCAAATAAATTCTGACGTAGTGCATATTTACCTCAAGTGCCTTTCAGCTGTTTCTACTTTCCTCCCATTATTTATGTGTATGGAACTCTCTCTCCCATGTGTATGGAGCCCTGCGTAGTTGCACGTGCCTTTCTGCTGCATATTTTAACATTGTGTTTATTTCCCTACGTCTCCTGGCAGCGTTAAACATAGCCTGTACTGGCTGAATAGATAGAATAATTACAACTTGCCCAATAGCAAGGCATTCACAAAAATCGCTCCATTGTCCCGAGATGATTAGCCTCTGCTAGTTAGCAAGTTTCACTTCCTGCTTACGACTGTAAAGCTTGTCGCCAACGTCTGACGTAATCACACATTGCGTAGCCTCGTCTGACGTTATCACGCATTGTGTAGCCTCGTTTCTTTGCATCCAACAGTTGAGAGGGAAACTAGATGGAAACAGTCTAGATTCAAAATTTTATTTATTACATTTTTTGCAAATTTCTATAAGTTCGATAAAAATTCACTCTACAACTGGATGGAAACACAAATAGTCATGTGAATGTCATCACAGGCTGCCTTAGCGTCAGCTGAGGGAGGGATGTAAACAATTAGCACAATCACATGAGAACTCACGGGCCAGGTGGTAAGGCCGAGCGCTAACCGTTAGCCGTTCAATGTCTTTGGTACAGCGCTGCTCCTTCACAGTAAAGTGTCCAGGGTTACACCATCTCTCATTAACGTACATCATCATTTTACTGCGCATGCAGGTCACATCAGTGTAGGGGTCACCCTGGTGAAAAAAAAAAACTTTTCTATTGTTTATTTTCTTTGTCTTTGATTTTATTTTTTACACTTATAAGAAGAAAATCATTTTAAAGTGTTTTT